ATTCCTGCACTTCTCAGCTGATTTCCTGCAGCAGGTTTTGGACATTATTTAGAAGGTAAATAAAAGCTGTTGGGGAAACACATAATCTTTGCTTCTAAACCTTAGTAACACAACAGATGTCTTGTGTGAACCTGTGGAGCCCAGGCTTATGTTTGGCGTTGTCACCCGCAGGTGTCCCATTGTACCTGATCGGGATGTAAATGCTCTTCTGTTTGGTTTTCTAGCACATTTTTAGGGTGTGAAATGCCTTCTGCTCCGCCTGGGTAGATGTGCTGCTCTCTGTTTTCCCAAACCCTGAGATAGGGACCGACCTTCCTTACTCTGAACTCCCCGGCTCCAGCGAAACCGCATCCCGAGGTTGGAGTACCGGCAGCCCCTGGCTCCCTGCCATGCTGTGTCAAGATGGAAATCAGCACATACGCTTCACGACGATAGACGTTTTTGCTTGGAAAAGACCCAACCCTCTGGTTTTTAATTATTCTTTTAGTGCAGCTCTGCGATTTTTTATTTTTTTTTTTTCCCCTTCACATTTCCATTTCTTAATGTTTGAGAATTCGTGTATTATCTGCTGCGTAATGCCGTTTGGCAGCGGCGGCGCTTGTGTCAAAGCGTTTGGGTTTCAGCCTTTCTCTGTCATAACATTGACTCTAAGAAGGATTTCTGACACGGGAAAACGTGCGGAGCATCTGTTAGGATGATAACTATAAGTTTAATTTTGACGTGGTTTCTCCCAAAGATTGACAGCCCCATGGATTTTCTGAAGCTGCTTCATCGGGGAACCTGACAAAAGTGGAGAGTAATGCTGTCGAACGTCATTTTTCTGAGCAAGAATTAGTTGTCATGCCAAGCTTTTCCGCTCCACATCTCCGCCGTCTGCTATTCCCAGGGCTCTTCGGCTCGGTGTATGCCGGGATGGGAAAACCCTGGGTTTAGCTGGGGAAGACAGCAGAGTTTGCATTGCTGGAAGCTTGTGACAACAGCTTCGTTTATTCCTGATAACTAGGTAACTTCAATTCCTTCCGGCCATGTTTTCTGCAATACTGAGTGTGGTAAAAATAAAATACTATAGTTTATGACCACCGTGGTGCCAAGTTACTTGTATTTAAATAACGTTGGGCAAAAAGCTGTGTGGTGTGTTCCCTTTTGAGGAGCAGGTTTGCTTCCTGGGCTCGCTGCGGGTGGCATTTGTCCCATGGACTGTGTTGATCTGCATCCCATCGTCTCGGTCGATCTGGGACCTGGGCAGCCTCTGCCCCGTGGTGTCGGGAGAAACTCGCGCTGAGCGACATAAGAGCTGAGAGCTTGCCCTGTTTTGGGTCCCTCATTACAACCTGCTGTGCTAGGAAAAAGACAAAAAGGGAATTTGTGATTGTAGTTTCTGGAAAAGGAAGTCCCTGCATCATCCTCGTGAGTTATTGTGGTGTGAGTTATCAATCTGTGTGTAGTCACGGAGCAGTTGCATCCCTTGGTCTTCACACAGCCGTGCTGGAAGGGAAAACTGTCACCGCTCTCCCCAAAACAGGTCGGCTGCTTCCTAGGAAATAGGGTCCAGGGATTTGTTTCGCAGCAATGGGCATGGGTTTAACTGCAGACCATGCCAACTGGCCAAATTGGACGCAGCCACTGGTTAAGATGGATTTATTTCAGGATGTATTTCTGTCATCGGTATGGTACCTTATACTTAAGATGTTTTGAATAGCTGGAGGTACAATATTTGATATTCCAGCCTTTCAGCAGCAGTAAATCCTGTGGGGGTTTTTTTTTTCCTCACCTACAGGGGGGTGTTAAGGGGGAATGGGACAGGGATTTTTTCCCCTTGCTGCAGAGAAGTTGCTTGGGGTAAAGCAGGCTGGCTGGCCAAACTGGTTTCACAGGGGAGGAGGGGCTGCAAAGCTGTCGCTTCCATCCTGGCTCGCCGTGGGTTGCTCTGTGTTCGGTGGGGATCCTTTTCCCCCATCGCTGCCGGGTCCCACGATGTAATCCAGCGGGGGTAATCCAGCGCGGCGGTAATCCAGCTGGGGTAACGCAGTGCGGCGGTGTGATGCCTTGTCGCACCCAGCAAGGGAGCAGGGCTTCAAGAGGCTGCGATTCCTCCAGCGGGTTTATATTTTTTCTCTCTGGTACCGTCTGTAGGCGATGGTGGGGCTGAGTGTGATGAGAGATGAAGAAGTGGCCTGAGAAAGCGCTGCGCCGATGGAGAACGGCGTGTTCCTAAACTGTGTGCAGCCTGCTTCAAAGCTTTGCAAAAACCGCGTCCTCGACTTAGGATTTGCTGTGGTAGAGCTTGATGTGGAGGCATTTCTGATGCCTGAGATTTTCTTTGTGACCTTACAGTTGTCTTTTTTTTTTTTTTTCCCCCACCTCTGAAGCTGTGAAGTGGAATGCCATGGCCAGTTCCTCGGACAGTGAAGATGACGGTTTCATGGCCGTGGATCCAGAAGACGCTGTGGTCGAAGGGACGATGGAGCAAGACGATGAGCCGCATGCTGAGCTGGAGGTCGAGGAGACCAGGCATAACAGATCGATGTTGGAGCTCCCAGAAGAGGTTTTGGAATATATCCTCTCCTTCCTTTCGCCGTATCAGGAGCACAAAACTGCTGCCCTTGTCTGCAAACAGTGGTATCGACTAATCAAAGGTACAAACAGCTGTAGTGAAAGTGCATTATTTTTTTTTTTTTAATTGTGGGAACAGAGATTCCTATCCCAACTGCTCTTTGCTTTGCTTTAGCCTCGCCTGTTGTTTTCCCCCTTTAACTCAAAAAATTAGATTTCCATAAAATGCCAGAAAAGCAGCTACGGCCATCGGGTCACTTGCTTTGCTGAAGGCATTGCAAATAATGGCGCAGAATTGAGCCTCTCGGCCTCTTGTGCTTTAAAAGAGTGAAACCCCAAACCCTGTGCGATGCAGCCGCTCGCTTACGTTGCCTTTGAACGCTCCCCGTGCACTGCTGACGTGCAGCACTGTTGAGCTTGCATTCAAGCTTCCTCTCCACCACCCAGCATTCCCCTGTTGCCGGTGTCCCATGTCTAATGTGGCTGTAATTGTGCTTCGCTTGCATCTTCCTCAGTAATTAACGCTCCCAAAGCTTATCCTTTTGGCTGGAAACAAAACCGTGTCTGGTTCTTACGGCTCTGCTGAAGATAAGTGGTGTATAAAATCTACATTAATATAGATCTACATATTCAGACTTCCTGAAAGAGTAGCCCTGAGATACAGATACTTCGCTGTGCCTCCGTGCGGCATTAATTCCGAAGCCTTATGGGGATATTTTAATGCTAGATATATATGATACAACAACTAGGTAGGTAAAGTTTGGATTAAGGGTACAAGCAAAGCTGTCTGCTTTGGTAATTTTTGAATACGTTGGATGATTTCTGTTAAGTTTCTGTTGGGGATGCGCATTTTGATGGCAAGCTTCATTAAAAAACAGACAGTTTAAGAGAAGACCACAGTTAAATCTGGAGGAAGTGAGGCACGCTGCTGCACGAGGGTAACTTGTTTCTTCTGGAAAATGCAGGGCGGTTGTCAGGTGAGCAACGCCTTTGGCAGGCGTGTGGGGTGATGTCTAATTTGTGGACTTCTCTGCACATGTGAAAGCATTGCTCAGATTCCAGGCATTTTCTGCCTTGCCCAGAGTTTAACAGGCTGAAGGTTAAAAAAACCACAGGTACTTCAGAAGCGAGCATTGCACAAAATTACTCTTTTTGCGTAATTTTGGGTCAGCAGCAGCCTGCGCCCCTGTTGAAAGGGTTTTTTTTCTGAGTGTCCGAGGCTCTTGAGTTGCTGCTTGGGTACGCTTTCTCACGCGTGCTTGTTCCCGGAGTGGCCTTAAGAGATGCAGAGGATGCAGCTGGAATGAACAAGCACCTGGTGATTCACCCCAAAAAAAAGCGACTGTGGGAAACGTCCCTGGAGCGGAGGGGAGGGATGAGCAGCCCGAGACGCAACGTGGCATTGGAATGAGTTGTCCATGGCTCAAATCTCAGGGGATGAGTGGTAGTGGGCAGCCGTGCCGTTTTTGCAGCAATTATTGCAAAAAAAAGGAGTGGGGAGCGTAATCGCCAACCTGCTTGCTGGGAAGCAGAGAGGTCACTCGAGGTAAACACTTGATTTGTTTTCTTCTGGTTAATTTTTCCTGTTTATCAGGATACATCTGCTGTGAAATCCTACAGTTCGGATTACATTTCCCGCGTGACTCTCGAGGACCAGCTGCTTGAGGACCCCGGGCTTCATTTTATTTTATTTTTTTTTTAAACTTCCTGCTTTATATCCTCAAGTGTGATTTCTTGCTGGAGGGGTTCCTGGCATGGGGCTTTCAGTAAGCACATCCTTGGGCTGAAAAAAATCTGGGCAGGTCGTGGCATCCTCAGTGCAAGGGGCTGCCGTAGCACAGCGGATGCCACCGAGCATCTGCTGAGCTGCTGCAGTCATAAATCTTCACCAGACCCTTTTTTTTGGGTGGATTTTTTTGTTTTTTTTTTTTTTTCCCATGGGGAGCAGTTTCTGGGCCTTCTCAGGGCAAACACAGACACGTGTACTCCATACACAGAATTAATGGCAGCTCTGGGGCTGGCCTGCTCCACGGAGGAGTTGTTGTCGGCCGGATCTACTCCCTCGCACGGCTAAGGAGGAATATTTTCACCGGAGACACACTGAGTTTTATCACTGATGTCTCCTCTCATATTTATTGTCAATTCCTGTGCAGTAGCTGCATGCACGTGCTTAAAAACTCGTTATTGCACGTTATTTGTCCCTTAAGGTCCGTTAAGGGAAGGGCAGCTGCTCCTCTGGGGCTGTGATTAGGGGACAGCAGGTTTGTGTTGCAGCAGAGGAGGCTGGAAACCAGCTCCGCAAAGGCTTCCCACGTGCTTACCTTTCACAAAGGCTTTGCTTTACCGAGCCAGAGCCGACAGATATCGGAAATGTCGTGAATCAGTTTGGTGAACGTTGCCGATTTCCACGTTTGCAGAGTCCCTTTTCTTTTTTCTCTTTAATCCTCTGAATTTCCACCAGTGTTTTGTAATCTAAATACAGGTTTTCTTTATAATTGCTGTCACTTGTGCAACTGTGCGGGCACAGTTTGTTCCTAACGTGCCCCAGATTTTGCTGACATCTTGTTTTTCCCTAGGTGTGGCCCATCAGTGTTATCACGGCTTTATCAAAGCGGTGCAAGAAGGCAACATTCAGTGGGAGAGTCGCACTTACCCCTACCCTGGAACCCCCATCACGCAACGCTTCTCGCACAGTAAGTAGCTGCTGGGAGAAGCTCCGCTCCCCCTTCTTCGGCTCTGATTTGCGACGGGAAGCTGTACCCAGGGGTTCGCGCTGTCACCGGGGATCGAGCGGTGCCGCGCGTGCCCATCGCTGCGGCAGGGTTTCGGCCGGTCGGTGTAACGCACACCTCTGCCAACGCAAAACCAGGGAATTCAGTAGCTGCTCGTCGTGGTTATGGGCTCGTTGCTCATCGGAGATGTGATTCTGTGAGATGCTACCGGCGCTAGGGTGGGATTTTTGCTTTCTGGTTTTGCAAATTTTACACCCGGGTTTCTTCCGCAGCTGCCCTCACGCTGAGCTTTGTGTCCCCTTCAATAGAAACCTCACTTAGCCTCTAGACTCAGGTCGTTACCAGCAAAGCCGACGAGTTTGCGTACCCGCAGTGCTCGGGGATGTATGCTGGCTGCTTTTACAGCAGATCATCTTCTACATCTGTCAGTAATACAGTTTGGAGGAGACCGAGTATGGCTTGCTCCAAAATAAAACACACAACTACGGGTGAGAAGCGTTGAGGCAAGCGTATCTCAGGCACAAAATAGACATTATCGGCCCATCCGTTAATAAACGCCTCCGAGACCAAGGCAGCAGAAATGCTTTGCCCATCAGAGCGTATTACAGACCTGATACTGCACTCTGTCTTTCTTGGAAGCCACATCACAATAAAAAAAGACAAATTAGTGCTTGAAACCTAGAAAGAAAAGTGTTTTGATACATAAAATAGGTTGGTCACGATGCCTATTTTCTATGCTATCTGTCACTCTAGACATTTCTCTATCATTTTAAGACCCTTATGATTATGTAGCATTTATTTTGGGGGGTGGGGTGGGGATTTCTTTACACATAAATGAATTTTCGCTGATAGAAGTAAACGATTCGATTGACACTGCCGCTTAATGTAGGGGTGAATTTTTGCCCTGCTTCCAAGTTTCTGGAGAGAAGAGAGAAAGAATTCCCATTGAGGGAAAGATACTTAAATAAAACTTATTTGTACTGCAATAGCATCTAGCTGCCTCAGCCTGCTCTGCCAGGCGACGCAGTCAAATATGACAAAAATTCAGTCTTTGTGGCTTCGTCTCTGGGTCTGAGCCCTCCGGGAGGCAGATCTTCCGGGGAGCAAATTTCATTTTTCTAAAGGTAAATAAACCTGGGGTAAGCTGTGCCATTCCAAGAGCAAGCAGGCGTAAGATTTTCATATTCCCTAGTAATAATTTATGAAGCAACCGATGCACAGCCTCCTGCCAAGACAAGTCCAGGAGACGCTGCGGGAAGTTCTGGTGAAGTCATTGCGCTCTTCAAAGATTTCCTTGTCCTCCTAAAGAATAAAAAAAAGGCACCACCATTCATAGCTTGTTTTTTAAGCAGCCGTGTTAGTAAAGCACTTCTTAATGACTTGTAGATTTGCATGTATTTCCCCTCAATTTTTGCAGCCTTTCTGCAACCGGTGAGCTTTAAGGCTAGCAAGAAATTCCCTGAAGGAGACCCAAATATTGCACCGAGGACTGCTGTGTGCGATGTAATTTATTCTGCTGCCCGCCGGGGGCTTCCTCTGAGCGTGCTGCTCTTGTACTCCGTCCAAAATGAGTTGTCTTACTAAAGCCATTGCCCTGGGAGCATGTAATCTGTATTAGCCTCGTATTTGACAGTGTCCTGTCTCTGGTCAGCCCTCGGTTGCTACAGAAGCATTATTAGCGCACTTGATGCGCAGAAAGCTAATCTGGATTAACTTGTTTGTTGAATTAAACTGATTTTTTTTTTTTTTTTTTTTCCTAAGCGGTTCTCCAGATCTGCGGTATCTGCTTTCCCTCCGACAAAGCGTTGGGTGTTTGTGGGTGGATTCCAATATTAAACTGCAGCTACAAATCCTTAAAAGCAAAAAATTCAAACTCTATCGGCAAACCTGTGCCCTAAAATACTAAGATGCGGTGAGGCGAGGTGAAGGGAGAACAGGAGGTTTGGGGAGTGAGGGAGGACTCGCAAACCCCATTTTTTTTTTTTTTTTAATTTTTTTTTAAATTTTTTTAGGGGTGAGGGATTTGCCAGGTTTTGTGGGAAGATTTCCTCTACCGTGCACGAGTGATTTGAAGTCAACAGGCAATGGTAGCTGGCATCAGAGGGCTCTCTCTCTTCCTGGGTTTATTAGAAATATCCCAGAAATGCTCAAAAGGACGAGTGAGAGAATTTTAAGTAGTTAGAGGTCGCTATGTCTTCTATCAATTTTGAAGGGAGCAATAGAAAAACTGTTTGATAAGGAATAATTAATGGCAGTTGCTGTCGTCTCGTGGGGAGGGAGCGTTTGGCAAGGGCTTTAATCGTACAACTGATAACAAACTTTATGGATGAGCTGCAGCTTTTCTGAAGGTTTTCTAAAAGTTTTTTGAAAGACTGAAGCTGCGGAACATCATACAGTATCAGCGATGGTGTTTTTTCGATGCACGCGTACTGGAAGAAACACTTCACGCGTAGGTTTTGGAGCCGAACACCAGGTATAATGTTTGCAGTAGTCATGTAATTCTTCTGTAGCCCTAACGTATGAGCCTCCAAATATCATAGCAGGGCGATGACTCATGTGGTTAAATAACTGGCCGCAATCAGAAAGCGATGTCAGAAGGCGCAGG